TCTAATATGGGGAAAATCAAGTTTTTTATATTATAAAATGGATACAAAGTTAACACTCTGAATTCCTGACTTAAAGCTGAACACGACTCATACATAGGCATACGCCATTTTCGATAATACTATGTACGATATCAGCACCAGTGTTTAACCTTCGCATTCGTTTCCCCTGCTCGATTTATTGTCAGGGGTATTGGAGTGGAATGGCGACAATGGTTATCTTACATTACCTTTACATTTTATTGCAGTTACGTGCATTATGTTTGTTTGTATACTGCACTGACCTGTAAGTGTATTCGGTATCTAACTCTCCTAAATTAGAAGTATACAGTTATTTTGTCTCTACCGAGTGCTGTGTAGCTTACATACCGTCTACAACGGTGAATACAAATTACACTGAACAGTGAACAAGTAATTGGCCTCATATGTATAGGGGCCCTCAGATATAGCGAGTGAACAATCGAATATGGTGGACAAATTCCTTTTATGAATCGTGTTCAGATATTATTCAAATTCATTAATTCTTTTATACAAATCAATAACTCTGCAAAAATGTAATTATTTAAACAAATTCATCTTTTAAATTAAATTTAACAAACAGCCAAATTCTCAAAGATAAACCTTTTATCCTGAATTTATAACACAATTCAAAGTTCATTTCATTTTTGTTAATTTTCTTTTCTGTTGTATATAAACTGATTAATAAAAAATTCTAACAATCGAGCCATTTGAGTTCAATAGTTATAAATTTGATGAACTGATCGGCCTTCTTTGTTGTTGAATTTGTTTAACGTCCTATTGAGATGTTTTGTTCATGCAGAGACATCACCACTGGCCGTAGCTGTAGAACTGTAGTTCTCTGCTTGAGAAAATTCGATCGGATAAAGCAGAGAGCTGCAGATCCAAGGCTTGTAAAAACCTTCGATTTACGCCGACGATTTTTGTTGCTGACTTTGGGTGTTTTTTCTTGTATTTTATACTTTCCCCAGATTTAAAAATAGTATTTAATAATTAAGCATACATTTAACTTCAATTCCGGATAATTTACTTACCTTTCAAGGCTAACAAATGGCTGTTTGCAGTTACTGACGTCGAAATGAACTCTTTTTAACCGACATCACAAAACTATATACAGGACTGTTTTGGACCGTTAAAAGGTAAATATTATACAATTATTGCTGTTTTTTGAGGTCAATGCAATGATTTAGCCATCTGAGGAGTACAATATTCACCGAACCCGAAGGGTGAGGTGAATATTGTACTTCAGAAGATGTAAATCATTGTATTGACCGAAAAAAAACAGCAATAATTGTTTTATTATATGATTCACTGATAAAATGATACAGCTCATTACTTGTTTGCATTTAATTAAGTCCAAGTCAAATACAAGAGAGAAGCAGAATTAAAATGTAAATAAACCTTACTAGTCGTATCAATTTGAAATGTTTTTTATCAATTTTAGTTGCCATGAAAAAAATATATAATGTCAGTCTTTTTTATAAGATAGATTTTGAAAGGAAGGAGTATTATTAGGGAAAACTGACTGCCAAAAAGTAAAAATTGTTGTTCAGTGAAAGTGTTGGAGGGGGATCCCTGCATCCCCACTTACATGTACTACCCTCATCCGAAAATATATATTCGCTTATATTTTGTTCAAATGAAAAAAATCATAGTCGTTTAAATAGCTCCCCAAAACAATTTGTATCAATTTGGAATTTCCCGATCTATTTTTAGATCAATGTAGAGGAAATAAATCCTTGTATTCACCTGGAACGTCACGTGCAGGTAATACAACGTAGAATTTTTCTAACATAGTTGGATCTCAGCCAGTCAGAGAGATGGAAATTATTCAACCATATGATAAAAATAATGTATCAAAAATAAGCGTTAAATATATGAATTAATTACAAGATACCATTCTAAAAGCCAGACAAAGCTTAAACTACACGAAATAAATACCTAAAGTAGGGGGAAAAAATTGTCGGCGTAAATCGAAGGTTTTTACAAGGTTTGGATCTGTAGCTCTCTGCATTATCTGTCCGAATTTTCTCAAGCAGAGAGCTACAGTTCTGCAGCTACACACGTCGGTGGAGGGCTGCAGATGTACATCCATACAGGGACGTCACCACTGGCCGGTAGAGGTCTGCAGATGTACATCCATACAGAGACATCACCACTGACCGGTGGAGGCTGCAGATGTACATCCATACAGAGACGTCATCACTGGCCGGTAGAGGTCTGCAGATGTACATCCATACAGAGACATCATCACTGGCCGGTAGAGGTCTGCAGATGTACATCCATACAGAGACATCACCACTGACCGGTGGAGGGCTACAGATGTACATCTATACAGAGACATCATCACAGGTCGGTAGAGGGCTGCAGATGTACATCCATACAGAGACGTCATCACTGACTGGTGGAGGGCTGCAGATGTACATCTATACAGAGACGTCATCACTGGCCGGTGTAGGCTGCAGGTGTACATCTATACAGAGACGTCATCACTGGCCGGTGTAGGCTGCAGGTGTACATCCATTCAGAGACATCCTCACTGGCCGGTGGAGGCTGCAGATGTACATCCATACAGAGACATCACCACTGACCGGTGGAGGCTGCAGATGTACATCCATACAGAGACGTCACCACTGGCCGGTGGAGGGCTGCAGATGTACATCTATACAGAGACGTCATCACTGGCCGGTGGAGGGCTGCAGATGTACATCTTTTCTTGGCACTTTTGGGGCCTTTAGGCAATGAAGGGTCGTACCAACACCTATCCCCTGTAGGTAACACACGCCCTCAGTTCATACGGTCTCATTTGAAGGACCGGTCCCCATGTCCTGCAGTTGGATTCGAGCTAGCGACGTAAGGATCGACTCCATACAATGTATCTCCACTCTAAAGCAAAAGCTCTTACCAATACGCCCTGCGGGCAACTTGCTAAACTGTGTAATGAATTTAAACAGAAGTCCCTGGTTATCAAGACTTCTTGCCATTTGCTGAGACTCCTCTCACCATTACTCTGTCACACTGTGTAAGCAATTAGTCTCAAAAGGGCATAAAGCAGAAGATGAGATATTAAACTAGACTTGATGCTTTTCTGTAATCTAATAGGCATAGCAAATCGATCGATTCGAAAAATATACTAGCAATTTCTTACGATGGATTAATGAGCGCTTTTTTACATCAAGTATTGATAACTGCTTCCTCAATAAAAATGAAATTTGAATACATGTACCTTCATATCAAATTTCGTCATATAAAAAATACCTACTTAAAAGATTTATTTCGATTCTACATAGAAGCACTTAAGTTTATATCAAAAGGATGAAAAATTGGAATGTTGGACGTCCTTTTTGACCATATTTCTGAACTTGAAATTAAAGACAAGACAGAATCTGCTATTCAATACTCAGAAGCCACAGGTACTTGTGGTTAGGACCCCCCCCCCCCCCCCCCCCCCTTATTCAACCCCTGGGCTTATTTGACATTTTTTTTCACAATTTATATTTATTACATTTATTCAACGTTTGCAATAGGAATAAATCGTCAAAACCCTAAAATAATCGCTCCACAAAAAAATACCCAACTATGTATAATAGTTGGGTATTTTTTTGTGGAGCGATTATTTTGGGGTTTTGACGATTTATTCCTATTGCAAACATGTTAAATATACATAGTTGGGTATTTTTTTGTGGAGCGATTATTTTGGGGTTTTGACGATTTATTCCTATTGCAAACATGTTGAATAAGTGTAATAAATCTAAATTGTGATGCAATTTAGCATTTTAGTAAAGCATGATCCGAAGACGATCAATTTTCAACAGAGGCAGAGGACAAATACCGAGTGATGTTTACTTCTCCTAGAATTGTTTGTATTTTAATGAGATTGACGGATGTTCAGCTTCACCCTTTTTCTCGATGTTAAAAGGATTTCAACAATTCTTGTAAAGTGTTTTTAGAGTAAGCATCTTGCAATATCTGCAATATCGACGGTCTATCATTGGGTGGTATTTTGGAACTAGAATTCTCATATAAATTGTTAATTCATTGCTTTAACGTCTCTACAAGAAAAAAAATCTCAAATGGACGTAAAAAAACATACAATCAATCATTGCTTTAATACTGAATTTGACAATGGAGTGCCTCGTCTATATTATCAATACAAAGGGCTCTCAACTGATGCAACAGATGAGCGATGCTTACTCATACTGGAAACCTGATCCCATCTCCGAGTTTCCACAGATTCATGTTTTTGTTCTGTTCACAATCTGATCCCATCTCTGAGTTTCCACAGATTCATATTTTTGTTCTGTTTACAATCTGATCCCATCTCTGAGTTTCCACAGATTCATGTTTTTGTTCTGTTCACAATCTGTTTTGCTTACTGGATTTACGAGATTGATCAGTATTCATTATCTTTATCTTTCACAAACATCTTAATTTGCCAAATCGAATGAGAAAGTATTATTTAAACTAGTGGATATTGTTTTGTTATACAATACATGTCTCCCCTTCATGAACAACATTAAAGAGAGCAAAAAAAGTGTACATAGAAGGCTAGTCAATATTCTTGTTGGTTCTCTCTATATTGCATTTACCAGTTTTTCTCATCTGTATCTTGCTGATCTATGTTTTAAATCTTATAAATAGGTCAAGGACACCTTCCCCCATATCACCTCTACACGTTTAAGTACAAATTAAATGTCTTTGTAAAAGGGCTTGCAAGTTAAAGCCTCCAAAACTTTTTGTTAATTTGACATTCCATGATAGAATCCATATGCATCAAAGTCATTCTTTTTTCTGCAGTGCTCCTTGCCCTTCTGTTGTCTTTTCAAATTCAATTTTCATAAGGGTTTTCAGGATCTGGCCTAGAGTCTAATTTGATTTAAATGATTGACCTTGACCTTATTGTATTTGTATAAATTATGAATGAAACAGCAATTACTTTTCATTAAAAATTCTACTAAAACATCATTTAAAAACAAATCCAATCATTCAGATGGTACAACTTTGAATTATGTTTGATTCTATATCCATTAATTACAGAAAAAAAACAATATAGAAGAATTTATCAAACAAAAAATCCCATGTGATTTATTGTGTAAAGGTACAGTTGAACTTAAGGATCTCAAACTTTGATATCTCGAATACCATGGATATGTTGAAGTGATGACAAAGTCCCAACCAGATATTCTTTAAGTATTTTACCCTCAATATCTTAAATCCTTGGATATCTCAAAGTTTTTTCTTAGCCCCATCAGGTTCGAGATAACAAAGTTTGACTCTATTATCATTCCAAGATCCTCATGTAGTCTTTTTATCAGTGTGATAATTATAATGTCTTCACAACAAATAACTTAAAGATAGGAAATAAAAGCAAATAAAAAGTCTGGTGGATCACCAAACAAAAAAATGCATCTAGCATAATATGAATAGTGTATATAATTAAAAAAAACCAATGTATTGTGAAAACAAAACAATCAGGGTCCCATTGTAAAAAAAAATAATGAGCCCCCCAATCACTGAAAACTAACAGGCAAGAACAATTAAACGCATTTGTAATTATACATAATACACTGTACTCCCAAAAAACTAATAACTTATAAGCTAGCATGATGGGGTTTTGTAAAATAAAATAACATCTTTCCTATCAAAAATCTCATACTGGTTTGATTAAATATTTAACATGTTTATGTTTAAACAATATAACATAAATAAAAATATGGCAAAATGCACCAAAGCACCTTAAACATCCCATGATCTACAAGATCAATGTCTCTCTAACGGAAATGGTATACTGTCTGATAACTAAAGTAAATCTAATCATGTAGAAACATACAAAATTATTTTAAGAGAGATAAACATGATCAATTAACAAACTTTAGTCAACAAAAGGAAATTTGAAACAACCCATTCCAAAAGACGGAGATTAAAAAAAAAAACACTGTAATAAATTAATTTCAGAGTAGTCTCTCCTAGTTGAGGGATCAGACAACCTTACACACCCTTTGTTGATTCAAACAACTATTTGTGACAGCTACACTTCTTCCTCTTAGCCATTTTTTCTTTGCGAAGTTTCAGCAAGCTGGTGAACTGCTTTCTCAGTATATTAAACTCTCCACTTAACACATTACCAAATGCCTCAGATTTAAGATTTAGCAGCACGTCTTTGTTCCTCTTTACGCTGTGGTCGCCGTCATCCTCGTACGGCCAGGAGAAGAGAAACATGACCACAAAGTGGGCAGTGGTCAGTTTCCCTCCCAAACACTCCTCCTGTCCACTGGAAAGATTGCTGGTTATACGTCCAAGTTTGTCTAAATGATGTTCTTTGCCCTGCTGAGTAAGAAAATCTGTCACAGCTTTGTAGACAGATGTTTTTTCAATGCTGTTCAGAAGCTGATGGACTACACAGGCATGTGCCTTGGAAATATCGCCGACACATTTAATGTCAATCTGAGTGGTGAAAACCGTTTCATTTTCATCCCCTGCTTCAGCACAGGTGTCCAGATTCTGGATAATGTACTGCACTGCGTTGTTGTCTCCCTCCTGCTCGGTGTATTCTTTCTCTAACCAATCTTGCCACTGAGTGATGAACGGAGAAATACCAGGACTGAAGACCTTGACGTTAGTTATGTCAAAGGAAGGTGAAATCTTAAACAATGTCAAAATGTCTCTCTGTTCTGTGTGTGAAGACTGCATTTTCTTCTTCACTGTGAGGTAGCCTCTTGGTTCACCTATTGATTTAAAAGGACTAGTATTGTGACAACTTTCTCATGGAAGAAAAAAAAAAAAGAGAAAAACTGCACCTCAATATAATTTATATTTAAATAAATTTCAAAATAAAGGTCCATATCCACAATTCTAACAAAGCAATGTAAAACCATCAAATATGAATGCTCAAGAAAAATGAAATGGGAAATAACTTTCATTGTACACAACTGATTAAGTAAGTCACCTGTAGTTTTGTCGAGGGCGTGCATAGCTTCCCAGAGTAGATCGACCGTGACCCAGTGAGGAGGATACTTAAACCTGGCTGTGTCCAGCATCAGGACCAGATCTTTCTCAGGGTGGTACCCTCCCACAGGAGAAAAATGGCCATCACCTGCATATCAACAAATATTCATTTTGAAACTAAGATTTTTTTTTTAATTTAATATTTTCTAAAAATAAGCTCTGTTTTCATTATCAGTGAATAACTTCATTCAAACCAAAACTGAGCATTCTAAAAATTGATTGCATTTTTTTGACATGCGTGCAAACAGGAGATCATGTTTTATTACACCTGTTTGATTGAGAGTTTTCCTGGAGTAGCTGAGAATCAGAAATTCATCGTCCCTCTTTGTATACTCAATAATGATGTCTCTGAACTGTTCCAGTGTACCCCCCGTGCCTGCCTTTGTTGGCTGTACCTCCAGCGAGTTACACTCGGCCAGACAGACAAACTGGGTGAACGTGATCCCCTCCTGCTCCACCAGACTGATAGGAATACAGCAGTCCAACATTCTCTCATGGTACCAGCGCCAAGGTCCTGATGTACAGAAACGAATACATGTGATTACATGTATATAAACAAACATTTACAGGTTTTTGTTGTGGTATGGGAAAAAAGGGGGAGGAGGAATACCACTGAAATAAGCAGTGATTTGATATAGTACAGCCTAATACTACAAAATGAAGACATGATAGTTTCTCTCCTATACATGATTTTTCTTTTTTTGCATTTCTAGATCCTCCCCTCAGTTTTAGTTTACCTTTCCACACTTCGCCGGGATCCACCTCCAGGGCATTCAATGCGATCACTAGAGTGGTCAGTCCACAGAAGGCCGGCTCATCCTGAGTCCGAAACTGGGCAGCCAGCTTAAAGTAGCACTCCATGTGTCCCGAATCTAGCGCTTCGCGGAAAATTTTCTTTCCTTCCTCGGAATAGAATGATATACAGGTCTGAGGGAGTACCCTTCTGTAGAACTGAGGGACTTTCTGGGGGACGTCAGCCATACTTACTGGACTGACCTCAAGTGATACTGCTCTCTCAGGTACAGTCACTAAAAAATGAAATATGGATATTTAAGACAATAGTTACATTAACTTTTTAAAAAAAGATATTGTTTTCAGCACAGATGTCAAGATTCTGGATAATGTACTGCTGTGTAAAACTCTTAAACCTACTATAACATTACAGAGGATCATTACAAGGGATCATACCTTTTGAAATGCTTCTGTAACACAGGCGGTCCTTTGAGCTGACTGGACTATGAAAACCACAGAGAGATTTTTTTAGGTACATACAACTTCTCCATCTCCACATCTATAGAAGCTCAATTCTGTAGAGAAAAGAAGAGGAGGATGTTACTCAATATTACTGCAAGAAATTACTTTAAGGTATGCCAACAACAGCCCACTTGTTAGCTGCTCAGAAAAGTTCAGGCAGAACCCCTTACTTCAAACCTACTTATTATAATTCAATTTTATGATATATTTACATTTTTAAATGAAACAATGTAAATTGTTCAACATTCAATACAAAACTGCTTAAAAATTCATAAAGAATAGAGATTTATGAGAGAGAGTGTGACATAACACTCCAGGGCTTTCTTGTGGAGGAAGGATATATTTATATGACATTTTTAAAATTAAAAGAAAATTTAAATTCATTCAAAATCGTTAAAATTTACACAAATAAAAAATGCCTTCTTCACGTTAAAATACGTTGTGTTGTTGACTTTTGCTTAGCAACCGACGTCTTGGCCCGAAAAAATGCGCATATTTCAAAATTTACATCACTATTTCTCCAATTTTTTATTTTTCAGTGTGACTATTTATACGATTATTACATTTGTGATATAATAAGAAATCTTATTCAAAAATGTTATATATCATTATTCTAATATTCTATTATCATAATTATGATATACTACAAAATGTACTAGGAATATTAAATATAGATATATTAAGTCTTAATTTATATTTCTAGAACAAATTTTTCCATGAATAAACAACAATATAAAATTTACACAGTTTTTGGGTTGCATATTTTGACTATTTCTTAACATCACTGTTTCAATTATTTTATAGACAAAACTTGATATAATAATAATAACAAAAATATTTTATTGCCTAAGGTTACCTGTTTGTTGTATCAAAATATATGAAAATAAATGTAACTAAAATCTCATACAGTGTGCATACATGATTTACACTCACATATTTAATTTTTGCACTTAAATTTCATCTCTTATTAATTTCTTTAACCCTTATAATATTTGATTAGATGTAAGCATGGCAATTATATTTATAAAACAAGTTTTAATATTTATCATTAAACAAATCTTGCAAATTAATGCGCGTAAATTATTGTGTGACCTTTTTGCACTAAAAAGTTACATATTTGGGGCATTAAAAAACTTAATAGGCTATAAAAAATGTCTTATATCAAACTTTTTACGACTTGAGTGCGACATAATAGACAAGTTTAAAATAATGACTGAAAAAGGTGGGGTTAGTGATGTTAATTTTGAAATATTTGTCAAAATATGTGTTTTTCAGGCTAAAAATGGTGTAAATTTGACCTTGACTTGTTCAATATATTTTCATTTTTTGGAAAAGTTTGTTGAGGGAAGGTGTAAAACCACTCTAAAACTATAAATTAAGACCTATTTTAAATATATTTAGCAATATCAATCAAAATATTCTCTGACCTTATGTGAGGCTAAAATTCCATTACATTAAATTTTACACACACCTTTGCACCTTTTGTGCTAAATATCCTTCACCAAAAGAAATAGTCCCTCATAAATCTTGCTTCTTTGTAGATTTTTTACCAAATGTTAAAAAATTTAGGCAATAAACCCCATAAATATGTCGCCGAATGATATGACTTCATGAATGAACTTAACACATAATAAATTCCAGAAGTGTAATTCACTATGGTTTATAGATGTAAATGATGATGATTGTAATGAAATGATTAGTATATTATTAGGTCAACACATCATTACTACATGTACGGTATTTATTAAACTGTTAATCTATTCACCATGTGACAATAAAATCTACTCCGTTTTTGGTCTGAAAATTGCATATTAAAATTTACATCTGTCATCACCATGATCACTATCTCCAATTTTTTCTTTCACTATTTTAAACTACTCGATACATGTGACTGATCAGCAATTAACATGATTAAGTAGTAAAAAAAAATATTTTGTTGCCTATTTAGATTTTTGATACCCAAATTATGTCACATATAGTGCAAAAAGGTCACACAATAATTTATGTTCTTTAATTTGCAAGATTTGTTCAATGAGAAAAATTATTCAAACAATTTTATGCAAAATAAGATTATATTTATTGTCATGGTTAGTACCATTGCACCTGATAAAATGTGCTAAAGGTTAAAGTGATTAATAAAAAAAAATTACAATTTAAGTGCAAAGAGGTCAACTTAATTGCACGCAGCTCAGTTAAAGATGCACACCACCCCTTATCTGCTTATTTCTCTGCGATTTTGAGTCATACTATATGAGTACTTATCCAAATATACTTCTTTAAAAATCTTTTATATGACAAATTTCACGAGTGACATGGACATGATACCCCCTTTTTTTGCTGACTCTAGGGTAATATGACAGGTCATTGGCCGAATATTTGTACTAACCTGACCTCACATAAGGAATTCATTATTGAGATAAAAACTTAACTCGATGTTCAAGATATACAGAAAATCTTCGAACCCATTAGTTACCTTTTCAAGAAATGTACCTACTATAATAATGACAAGTTAATATCGTAAACAATTCACCACAAAGAACATTGAAGAAATCGTTAAAATCACCCAGATTTTCTCTGTTTGTTTCTCACTTTCTGAGTATTCGCCGGGTTTTCCCGACTATAATTTACAAAATGTCGATCCCGATGTTAATTCATGAATAACATAAATTTATAAGACACTGTTAGACTCACGACATGGGCATCTGGCTGTATCATAATTTACTTTTGTAGCCCGGATAGCATAAGATCAGACTTGTTTTATTAAAAAAAAAATTGTGACCCTGTTGTAAAGATGAAGAACAACACATAAACCCTTGGCCAACAAAACTAACAAAATATATATCAATTGAAGTCGACATGGGAGCCATACAGATTTACATGTAGTAACAAGCCAAATAAAACAGGTAAACATGGTAAAAATGCAATGATGATAATGATGACTGATATTTCTTTATGATTTTATATTAAACCAACACTGTCAATACTTCCCTACAAGGCTACATGTAGGTCCATTTGGAAAATGACGTCACCGTCACTTATTGATCAGTAGAAAAGCTGCCGTGCAAAATCAGGGCATGTGAAATTGAGCAAATTTACAGTGATACTTCCCATTTTGCAACTTTATGCATGCGATGCCCAGGAACTGTGTGCGAGATGGAAATTGTAATAAAATATTAATTTTAAAAATCTCAAAAATCTGAAAAGGAAGTCACAAACTACTGTTTCAGTAGATCACCCATTGTGTTTTTTGCTTTTCAAAGCTTTCAGTGATCAGGATACTTTGTAAGTATTGAATTTTCTACTTTGTGTTTCCAGGGATATTTTGTACATGTACTACTCTGGACAATGCTTCTCAAAATTTGCTGTTCTTCATCATCTTCCACCAGTGTTTCTGCGGGTGCAATCTCTGCAGCATCAGAATGACACTTGACCATTGTTACCCTGTGACATCTCGGCCCACTGCTCAGTCGTAGGTTGCTGATGTTTAGTTCCTACCTCGTCTGAATCTTCAGCTTGTTGAGCATGTTAAGCGTCCAAATTTCTATACCGAACTGACTTGTCACTAACACCATCTTGGATGTCTTGACTTAGAATGGAGAACTGTTGCTTATGATGTTGTAATTTCATATGCTTAACTCTTTTTCCGGCGAAGATCTTCAATGTACTTTGACAATGTCTTTTATTGCTGCTTAGTTCCATGCGAAGGTCAAGTTAAGTCCACTTGAAATGGTGATCCCAATTGAAATATGAAGTAGTAGAGTGCGTAATTGGTACTCTCATGTCGTGTGCAAATGTACCGTGGACTAACGGTGCAATATGTGGCTTCGAGTATGATTTCTGGTATAGCTCCATATGTTCTAAACGCCCACTATAATGTCTTGTTAAACCGAACTGTCATACCATGCATATTATATATGGCGTTGTTCTCGATTTTTTCCAATGAAAGTGATGTTACACATTTCCTTTTTTATTTATCTCTCAACATTTACACCTTTGTCTAGAGGGCGTTCCAGTTGTCAATTGAGGTTTCAGTTGTTTTGCTGTCGTATTGTGAGTTGGTACGACTTGAACAATTCTATTAAAGTGGTCAATTATCACTAAGATAATCATACTGAATGTAAAAAGATTGTTTTGCGCACTCCTACATGGCATCGGATCCCACCTCTGATGTTTTGGTGGCCTGTGTTTGCTCTGCTCCTATTTATTTAATTGTATTGTTTTATGGGCTTTTGATCTTGAATGCTGTTGGTTATTTTCATATGTTTCGTGTATATATCCTTTGAAATTCCGTTTAATCGACCTGCATCCTTTCTGTTGGTATTTTTACCCAGTCTGCAAATGATATTGACATTTTATAATTTGACAATCCGCTAACCATCACTATCTTATGGTATCCAATTTTTTAATTATTATGAATTTTCGTAGAGATCATCTTCGGATCTTTTAATATTTTTAGTTACTGCCGACTTGAAGGCCAGAAGTTGTATATTGTGGACAGGATATCTTTCTGATCTGGTTATCATCTGCAAGCATAAATGATGATTCTCTTTTCTCCTTCTTGAGTCTGCTTAGAACTATAATATAGCTCCCAGTCCCTAAAAACTGGCATCTGTGTGTAGTTCGAATGGGATGTAACAGCCTGGAAATCCTAAGTGGTTCTGCTAACAGTTATGTAAGTTTGATGAATACTTCCTCTCCGCAAATACATATTCTATTTGGAGATCTGTTTTCTTTTCTTCATATATCTGAGTATTACTGGAATGATAATGGTCAATGGTTTTGACATTCAGATAAACTTTTCCTATGTACATTCATTTATTTAAAAGGGGCTAAGGTTTTACATACATATATAAAATAAATATGATTTTCTAAATCAATAACAACCCTTTGCACGTTTGAAAATTTTTAATATGAGTACAGAATTGAGCATAAAATGAGTATAAATTGTTTTCTACTTTAGTTAAGCGTCAAAATTTTTTGTATTGTATCATGACACATCTGTTTCATATTTGGATATTTTACTTGGAAAAGACTAAATAATGGAAATCTAACAACCAAATTCTATGATTAACGTGATGACTTTAACTTTTCTATCGTCAACTTCCCTTACTTATGCAGCAATATACCTTCATCACCTGCATACGGAATCTATATATCTCAGTTGATTCGATGCTCTACGTATGAACAATTTCTAAAACGAAGTAAATTATTAACAAGCAAGTGGATGAAACAGGAATATCAACAGTTTCGTTTAAAGTCTTCATTTCGTAAATTCTATGATCGATACAATGACCTTGTCAGCAAATACAATTTATCATTGAGACAAATACTGACTGACGTTTTTTATGCTTATTGTTAGTCCGTTATTTATACACTGAATTGACGACGGATTTTTACGTTATTTCCCGATCATGACAAGGAGCACACGGCGGGTGTGACCGGTCAGCAGGGGATGTTCACTCCTCCATGGCACCTAATCCCATCTTTTCGGAGGTTCGTGTTTGCTCTCTCCTAATTTGTATTGTTTTATGGCCTTTGATATTGAATACTGTTCGTTATCTCTATATCCTTCTTTAAGGGGTTCTTCAAAATCATATGTTAAATTTAAGTATATTTTTAGTATTCCCAACAATCAAAACCCGAAATTCCGGATTCCTTAACTTCATACAAATCGTAACAAAGATATATTGCGTAAATCTAGAAATTTTTACGTTGATTTTATTTTGCGAATCTTGGTCAACAAGCTGTTGATTAATTTTAACGTTTCAAAATTTTGCGAATGACCACTGTTTTCTTTATATTTTATTATTGTTAATTCATGTTCAAGAAAAATATTTCTGCGAATACAATGAACTCACAAATTTGCTAAAAATTTATCTACAGCAAAAATTTCCAGATTTACGGTAATTATCTAGGCTTCATGATATCATAATAAAACAGATGATGTTTCAATTCAAATGCATCTTGTAAATAAACATGACTTTTCAACCTCTTGTAAAGACATTCTGATTTTTAAATACAAATACATGTACTACGAAATTAATATAAGAAGGATATGGAGATAACGAACAGTATTCAATATATCAAAGTCCATAAAACAATACAAAGTAAGAGCAGAGCATCCACGGACCTCCGAAACATCAGAGGTGGGATCAGGTGCTATATAGGAGTGAGTATCTCCTGCTGACCGGTCACACCCGCCGTGTGCTCCTTGTCATGATCGGGAAATAACGGAAAAATACGTCGTCAATTCAGTGTATAGATAATATAAAGGACTTACAAAAAGTATGAAAAACATCAGTCAGCATTTGACTCAGTATGATGCTCGGCTGATTGACAATAGATTCATTTTAGGAGATCAGGCCCCAAGACCATAAACTGAGAATAGATTTAAGCCAAAATTTTAAATTGATATAACTTTTGAAATACTAGTAATTTTTACAATAGAATAATTTTTTTTTATATGTCTGAACTGAAGTGTTTCGCACAATTGCAAATTTTTAAGCTAATACATTGAATGAAACTGAAGATATTAAAAAAATCACATTTTACTTAAGACTGTTCTCATGCAGTTTATGGTCTAGATCTTTCACCAATCTGTTTTAATTTATTGTAAACCAATTGCACTTTTTTTGTAGACCTTTTTAAAGCAGAATTAATGCAAATTTCAAACATAAAGAGACGAAAACAATTGTTGTGATCTTTATTTTGACAATTATAAATATGTCTTTTGTCAATTAAAGTTTTTGGAGACCAGGTCTTTCAGCAAAATCTTTTAAGTGAAAAGAAGAAAACACTTGCTGTGGCTTTCAACTCGACATTTAGACATACCGACGACGTATTGTCAATTAGCAATGGTAATTTCTTTTCTTATGTCGATTTGATATATCCTTGTGAGCTTGAAATAAAGGATACCACAGAGTCTGACACATCTGTTTCATATTTGGACATTTAAGTGGAAAAAGACGCTAATGGTGATCTAACAACCAAGCTCTGTGATAAACGTGATGACTTTAACTTTTCTATCGTCAACTTCCCTGACTTAAGTTGATATATACCTTCATCACCTGCATACGGACTACATATATCTCAGTTGATTCTATCGCGATACGCAAAAGAAATGCTCTAAGTATGAACAATTTCTAAAACGAGATAAATTATTAACAAACAAGTTGATGAACAAAGAATAACAGCAACCTCGTTTAAAGTCTTTATTTCTCGGATCTGTGATTATGGATATTGCTTATCTAAGGCTTTTTAAACCCGCACGTCTTACAGAAGAAAACGCAGCTAAAACAATCCGTCTTTTCCTTAAACTTCAATATGCCAATAAAAGAATTGACGCAGTTAATATAAGTAATATTCTTAATCATAAAAGAGTCCAGTCTTGTATTCCACCATATTCCAAGTTAAAGACTACACCTTGTATTTCCTACAAATATACATCGACCATTGCTTCAAAACTTTTCAATTGCAAAAAAATACTTTACATGACCCGGATACCGAGTATCTGAAACATAATCCTCCATCGTGCTCATGTTCTTCTTCGACCTACAACTATAGTCCTGCTG